GCCCTCCACCCACACGCCACAGCATCATCTGCACGTTATGGGGTGCAAGGGTGGAGTCTTGTCCCTGCTGTCTGGCTATGTCCTTGGCTGCGCTGCTCCGTGCAGGCTGCGCCCGGGGGCAACTCTCCTCCAGGGGAGCTGCTAGTGAGGAGGGGGCTGCGGGGGAAGGCAGGGTTGGGGTGACGGCGTGTGTGCCCACAGAGAGGGCTCCGAGTGCCACCTCTGGCACGAGTGCCATAGGTTCGCCACCGCTGGTATAGGTTCTCCTGCTTGAAAGGGGGGGACTAGAAGACCTTCAAGGTCCCTTCCAGCTCTATTCTATTGACTACTCACTAGACCAAAACTGAGCTTGTCAGCTTTGGGTGAGCCTTGCCCTATCCCAGTGGTGGCGAACCTATGGCACACATGCCAGAGGCGGCACTCGGAGCCCTCTCTGTGGGCACGTGCACCGTTGCCCCAGCCCCGCCTCACCCCGTGGCCCCCTCCTCACCAGCAGCCTCCCTGGAGGAGAGTTACCCCTGGGCGTGGCCCGCACAGAGCAGCGCAGCCAAGGACATAGCCGGGCAGCAGGGACAAGACTCCGCCCTCACGCCCCATAGCGTGCAGATGATGCTGCGGGGTGTGGGTGGAGGGCGTGGATGCCATGGCACTGCAGGGCTGCCTGTGTGATCTGCTGCGGTGGGCCATGGAGGCGGTGCATGGCCCTGTGGGTGGGTGGGGCAGGGGCGGGCGGGGGCGGAGCAGGCAGGGCAGGAGGCAGGGGGGCAGTTTTCGGGCACTCGGTCTCTAAAAGGTTCGCCATCACTGAACCTATCCTATTCCAAAGAATTTGACCAAAGAAAAAACTCTAAATTTCTACAGGGAGCCCTTGACTTATGACCACAGTTGGCCACTGGGCCATAGGACAGGCAGGACCGTGTGCGCGCACGTGTGCGCACACTCACCCCCACTTGCGCTAGAGCCCACGGACCCATTTGCGCATGCGCATGGGGCTAGCAGCAGCGGCTAGTGCCTGTGCGCCTATGCAAACGGGGCCACTAGCGCCGTGTGGGTGCGTGCAGCCCCGTTCATGGCGTCTCCACACGCACACAATTTTCCCAGCTGCTTCCTTTCCCTCCAGGCCACCAGAATGAAAAAGTTGGTGACCTCTGCTTTGGAGAACAGCTTGACTCCCTCTTCTTTGGGGCAGCCCCTGAGATATTGGAAGACTGCTATCATGTCCCCCCTCGTCCTTCTCTTTGTTAAACTAGACATCCCCAATTCCAGCAACCGTTCCTTATATGCTTTAGCCTCCAGTCCCCTAATCATCTTTGTCGCTCTTCTCTGCACTCTTTCCAGAGACTCAACATCTTTTTTACATTGTGGTGAGCAAAATTGAGTTAGTGATAGCAGGAGAGCAAAGCAAGATCTAAAGACTTCCCGTGTGAATCCCTACATTAAAACTTTTGTCTCCCAAAACCCCAACCCAGAGCCCAACTGTCCAGTTCGCATCCAGCCAATCCACAGGGACAAAATTGTTACGGGAACCAGAGCTGATAAGGGACGGTTCCCAGGCCCTTCACCGGATCTCGCAACGGTCTGGAGATAAGACCGACAGCCCTTGGCACATTCTTTTCCCCTTTTCACACCCAAAGAGATACATCAAAGTTGAGAAAAAGCAAAAGTAGAGGGAATACATCCACAAGGCCCCCCCTCTCCCTTTCCACTAGAATGGCAGAGCCCCAAAAAGAAACACTGAAGGGGTTTCTGACAGATCACTAACCGAAGTCAAGGACTACTTGTATTATTTTAATATTGGCTTGTTTTAATCTTTTCATTATTTTTCACCTGATTTTATCGTTTGTAAGCTGCCCAGAGTCCCCTAGTAGGGGAGATGGGCAATGTAGAAACTGAATGAATGAATGAATGAATGAATGAATGAATGAATGAATCTCATTAGCAGAACACCAAGCCAGGGAAGAAATCTTCAACATGGCTTAAACCAGCCATTAACCACTTCTCGTTCTTCCCGCATTCTTCTCACCTGGCATCACTTCGGCCACCAGTGGTCCTTCTGCTGCCAGCTCCCGTACAATCTCATTGTCATCCTCATTGATATCTAACCACCGGCCACAGTTGAAGGTGTACTTCTCTTTGGTCAGGGTTTTCAAAAGAGTGACCTTAAAGGGTTCAAAAACAAAAACAATTATGCCAGAATGACTACCCGATGATATATCGGGTGTCAAATGTGAGAAATCAGGCAGTTCACATGAATATAAAGGTTTCTTGCAAGCTTCAGCTCTCTACAAGAATCTGATCTACTAAGGGTCAAAGAAAATAGGCAGTAGATAAGAGCTAAGGATGAAACTTTGGCAGCTACCTGCCTCTGCGTTTCAACTTGCTTTTAGATTAAGGGGGAGGAGGTGTTACTTTCAAATGGGTAGATGGAGAAATGAAACTTCTTCAGTTCAACTGCAGACAGTGGGAGCCTGAAGCCTTGTCAAGGACACCAGAACGGGTGTGGATTTGAAGCAGACAGTTCCCACAACAAAATGGAAATACTACTACTACTACTACTACTACTACTACTACTACTACTACTACTACTACTACTACTAATAATAATAATAATAATAATAATAATAATAATAATAATAATAATAATAATAATAATAATAATAATAATAATAATAAAGTTGGAAGGGATTTTAGATCTTCTAGTCCAGGGGTGTCCAAACTTTTTTCAAAGAGGGCCAGATTGGATGAAGTGAACGTGCTGGAGGGCCGAACATTTTTCCGAACATTCTTTGAACCATTACAATTAAATGCAAATGAATTATTTTATGCCTCTTTCCTCTCTCTCTCTCTCTCTCTCTCTCTCTCTTTCTCTCTCTCTTTCTCTCTCTCTCTCT